CCCCCGCCTCCGGCGTGACGTCGGGCGGTGCGCGGCGACTGGCGCCCCCGGGGCAGAACCCCTTCGTGCACGAGCTGCGGTTGAGCGCCCTGCAGAAGGCCCAGGTGGGTGTCCCCGAACGCTCCGCCACGGACCCCGTGGGATGCGGGCCCGGGAGGCGCGGCCTCCGATGGGGATGGGGAGGGTCCTGGGACTTGGGCCCTCCCTCGCCGATCCCCGTCCCGTGGTCCCTACACTTCGCGACGCGACGCTCGATCCCCGGCATCCGGCTTCCCGCCGCCCTCACCCAGATCAGATCCCCAGGTCCCTGGCGCCGGTCTCCCGCATCCCGCACCCTGATGCTGCTCCGCACCCCTTTTGCCTGGTTCCGGCAGCCTGATCTCCGCTCCGCATCCCGGTCCCCGCCGCTCCTCCCAGGCCCAGGCGCTGTTCCCGCCGGATGCAGGCCCCGCGCCTGGATGCTGAGCGCGCATCCCCGCCACGCGCCCGAGCTCTGCGCGGGAGGCTGACTTTGTGTCTCCGTGGCCTCATGTGCGGGGCTTTGCCTGGTCGTTTGAGTCAGTGCCTGAGAGAGTGGGCGCGCGGGGCAGGCGGGACAAGTGGCAGGAGGATTTCCACCTCTGTTTGCGAGGAGAGTTTCCTGGGGCTTTGCAGTAAGCGACGCTCCCCAGGGCATCTGACCCCAGTCAACTTGTGCCACCGGGTTCCCACATGGGAAGCAAGAGTGTGTGGCAGCTTCCCTAAAGACTGTCTTTTGGGGGCAGGGAGGATGGTGAGTGGGGACCTGGTCCAGGCAGGGGGGACGCTGGCCGCTTTTGTTCCTGTGGCCTTCCCATGGGAGCATGTCCCTTGACGAGCTGGCACTCCTGGTGACTTACTCTGGGCCAGTCCTTCAGAGTTCTGAGACACTCCCAGGCCTGACGCTTACTCCACAGTAGCTGCAGGCACTAGCAGTTCAGGGCTTCATGCTGCGGGCTCTTCGGAAGTGCATTTCCGTGGTGAGAAACTTCTTCTGTGTGCAGGGGGAGTTGTGTTTCAGTGTGTAAAGTAGCTCATCTGATGTCACATGAAGTGAGAGTCCCAGGGTGGGCTTTCCCGGGACCTCTGCTTTCTTCAAGCCCTGGGTGGAGGAAATGGTGTGCAGAAGATTGAGAGCAGAGAGGGCCAAGACAGGGTTGTCCCCAGCTGGCCTCCAGCCTGTCCCTGCACAGGTCAGGGTGGGGGCTCTGCCTGGAACCTCCCTCTGCAGCCTTCATCTCAGACCCTCCCCTGCCAGCGGCTGAGCCTGCAGGAAGAAGACACAGTGCCTCTGCCCTTCCCCTCATTCCCCTGTCTCCCCGCCCTCACCAGCCACTCCCTGGGGGGTCCTTTCTCTCTCCTCCTCCTGCCTCTCTGCTGCTTAGAAGCCCTCTCTGGACAGACACCCTGGAATGGAGCCCTGATACCGTCTTGTGCTTTTCTAGGGCCTTCCCTGCTCACCCTCTGCACCCTTCCCTACCCATCCTGATCATGCTGCCCGCACCCTGGTCATCCCAGTGGCCTGCTTCCTCCTGCTCTGCCCCTCTCAGCCTCACTGTGTCTCCCTCCCGTGCTGGGGAAGCCTCCCTCTTCCAGGTAGCTAGTGCCTCCCTCCCTCTGTGTCCTGCCAGAGTCACACTCCCTTTAGGAGGGAAACACGGCCAGGTGCACTGCCCTCAGGAAGCAGGGCCGAGGCCCCCTGAGGTGGGGAGAAGGCAGGATTGGGTTGGAGTGCCCCCCAGCCTCCTTTCTGCCCCTGGACCTCATTTCCTCCATCCCAGCTGCTCTCGGCAGGGTCATGGAGGCCCTCAGAGTCACCAGGTGTACTTGGGACGCAGTTGTACCTGCTCTGGTGCGGCTGAGGGTCACTCTGTAAATGCCCGTAGCGTGCTCTGTGGAAACTCTGGCTTGCACCAGGCACTGCCCTGTGAAGTCACCTCTGGGCTAGCCGTGGCCAAATGCCCTCTACAGGTGAGTGGCCTGACTCCCAAGCAGAGAAAGCCTGCTTCCCGGGATCAGGCCTCGTACCCCACACCGAGGTGCTCGGGACGCCCCAGTGGAGCCAAGGTGCAGGCAGCCCACAAGTCCCTGCCTGGGATGCTGCTGTGTTTGGCCTGGTGCCAGTCGGCCACCTTGCCTGCCCTGGGCTCCATCTGGCATTTACAGACTTAGTGAGGAGCTTAAGCCTCTCTCTGGACAGAAAGCCACACACAAGGGTCTGAAGGAGGGCCCAGGGCTGTGGGGGTCTGTGAAACCTGTGTGTACTGCAGCCGAAGCCAGGGCACAGGGCAAGCTCAGGTCAAGCTCAGGGACGGGGAGGTGGCTTGGCGCTGCTCTGCAGCCCTCAGCCGCGCGCTCACAGTTGCCTGCTCATTGGCCACTTTTGGAGTCATGAGGTGGTTTCTATCACCCGGGGTTTTGGGGTACTTCCCATAGATTCTGTGGTGTGAGCGTGTCCCTGCCCCCAGCTCTGATGGGTTTTCCCTTTTCTGAAGTCCCTGCCCATAACCAGCCTCTGAGAGGTCACTTCCTGGAAAGCAGAGCCACTCCCTCTAACCTTGGAGCTGTGTGCCCAGTCAGTGTCAGGCCCAGAGCTGGAGGCTCTGGCCAGCTGCCCCCTGCCCAGTCTGACCTGCAGAGGACACCGAGGATGGCCTGGCATCTGGTGGGCCATCTCTGCTCGTGCCTGTGGCCCAGGAGAGGCCAAGGCCACTTCCCGGCATCCTTGCCTGTGTTCACTGTCAGCTGTGGCCCTGGGAGGCGGTGGGAGGCAGGGGTGGTGTCACAGTGTGGCAGACAAGGCTGCGGGGCCAGTGCTGCGGTCCCTGCCTCTGAGCGTGAGGTCTGGCTTGGTGTGGACGCTGGCCTGGCCTCACAGCCCTGTCCTCGGGAGCTGGCTCCCTCCCACACACCTGGGGCCTCTGTGACCCCTCTGCCTTTCTGGAAAGACGCACGTGGAAGGCTCGCTTGCCGTTGGTGGAACAGCAGGATCAGGATTGAGGCTGCGAAAGACTGTTGGTTGGTTGGTGGCCTTCAGAGCTGACCTCGAGGGTGTGCGGACGTTGTTCACACAGAGGTGTTCTATAGCTGCAAGCAAAGCCCAGTCTAGTGCACCCATCACACCTTAGACTAACATCAAATCTCAGGACTTTTGTGGTGCGTTCCGCATGCCCTGTGCTCACGCTGTCCGGCGGGGCAGGTTACTCGGTGTCTCCATGACAGTCACGTGCTGATTTCTGAACTGTTCCCTGCAGACTGCTGCAGGCCTCAGTCCCAGGCCCCAGGCTCATTTTCCTCTCTGGCCACTGGTGTTAGCAGCAGGAGCTGGCTCCTGTCCCCCCCGTGACTGCTCTGCATGCACAGCCTGGGCCCCGAGCAGGCCTGAGCCAGGCAGCGCCTTCCTGGAGGGAGCCAGCCGGGAGCGCCCCATCCTGGGCTCTGGTCTGGGTTCTGGAATTCTGGCCGAGGTCACATTTTTACCCATCAAGCCTGACTCTGACCTCTGCCTGGCCCCCAGGCTGCTGGCTCTTTAGGAGACACGCTGTCCTCACGGGAGCTCGGCCACAGCATCCCAGCTCCGCTCAGTGTCCAGGGATCCATTCCCTGCTGCTGGCCTGAGGAGTTCTGTTGGCCTCGATGGCCCTGAGGTGCCGGGAGAAGAGCCACCAGCTGGCGTCCCACATTTCTACCTGTATTTTCCATGGTCCTTCTCAGCTTGGGGCGCCCCAGCACTTGGCCTTTCACCTGAGGGGCAGTGGCCTGTGCTGTACTTACCCCCTGAGGCGTGTGGTCAGTGTGTGGGCTCAGGGACTGTGTTCTGGGGACAGCAGTTCCTTACAAGCTGCGGCTTTGCTTTTGCGATGGAGCCGCCCCAGCCACCTTCACCCGGAAGCCCCCGGACACCTCAGCGCGTCCTCAGGTGCTCCCCCCGGCCAGCTCTCCCCCGCGGCGCGTGCCCTGACCAGCCAGTGGTCTGCAGACGCGGAGCTGTCGTCCCAGGAGAGCTGGCTTCCTTTTCATTGAGACGTCCTCTGCCCACAGGTGGACGGCGCGTTTCCACCGTTGAGCGATCTGTTTCTCACTTTCAAGGGATCAGGGTCTGGGGCCTGGAACAGTGGTCATCCAGAGCCCTCTGTACACACCGGCCATCAGGACCTGCCTGCTCTGCTTGCTGGTACCCAGTGGCCCTGCACCTGTCCCCACATGCAGCCGAGTGGCCTCGAGCCCTGTGGCCCTTCCTGCCTGGGCATGTCCGAGTAAGGCACGTCCCTGCCCACCTGACCCAGAGACTCCAGGAGGACCCTCTCTGCCATCCGTGCTCCTCCAGCTTCTGTTCCTGGACCCTTCACCAAACAGCCCAGGATGAAAGTACCCCCACCCCACGGCCGGGCAGCAGCGGCTCCTCACCCAGGTCCTGCGGGTCTATGGTGGTGTGTCAGAGCGACCCTACCTCCCCAGCCGCGCTCGGGACCTTTACTCTAGCTGTGAGTTATTTTGAAATGAGCCCAGAGGGAAGGGCACAGTGCTGGGTATGTGTGTGTCAGTACATAATTTTTTACTGTGCCCACAGTGGCCGTCGGTGGCCTATGGCCATCAACCCCTCCCTGCTCCTTCTGCAGGATTAAAGCCCACCAGCACGTCCCGGCTCCCTGTGGCTGTGCTGGGCCTGGGTGACATGGGCTTGCCTCCCCTGGGCCTGGTGTTGCCACTGCCTCTGTGTTTGGTGACCCCCAGGATGCTGCCTGGACCGTTCTGGGTACCTGGAGTGGACCCAGAAGGTGGGGATGCCACCTTCTGAGTCTGTTAAGGGTCACATGTCCACCTTAGAGTGGAGTGGTGATTTATTTTCCCCAAGAGTTACTGGCTGTATATCTGTAGTCTTTAAAGAGAAAAACCACACTTCTAAGGATTCACGTTCTCAGGGTGGCCATGGAGCAGGGCTGCCCTGAGCCCAGCAGCGTCCCTGAGGCCTGCCAGAGTGGGGCCAGGCATTGGCCATGAAGCAAGGCTCTGCTGTCCGCGTTGTGTCCAGCCTCCTGGTAGAGCCCAGGACTTTCCTGGGCTAAGCACAGTGGTGACCCCGTGC